TTAAATCCTAGACCTGGCTGATCTGCATCTAAGTCCAGAGTTTCCTCAGGTCAAGGTTGGTTTAAACAGCTGGATCCCAACTTATTCAGTAGTCCCATTGTCTTGGGAATATCTGGAAGCTCCTTATAACTGGTTCTTTATAAATATTTTTTAAAAGAAATCCTAAGTAAGCACAGAACATTTGCAGCATGCCTGGGTTTAGAATTAAAGAGACCTGGCTTTGTCATATTAGCTCAGCCACTTGCAGAGTTAGTTATGTGGCCACTGATGAGTTGCTCTTCCTTGACTTTTAACCTTGAATTTCAGTTGCCTCACCTGCCAGATCATTCATAAACTCTGCCACACCTGGTTTGTGTGGGTATTAAATGGAATAACATGATAAAGTACGCATTGATTCTTGGTACCTGTTTACTAAGTGGGGATTTTTCCTTTGTTCAATAAAAACTCCCATGGAGTTTATATTCTAGTTGGAAAAGACATACACACTACAAGGAAAAAGGAAAGAAAATCCAGACAATGATAAGGGCTAAGGACAAATAAAAGGGAGCAGGATTTAGGTAAGATTGTCTAGGAATGCCTCTCTGAGGAGATGATATTTCAGCAAAGAACTAACAAAGATTTGAGAAAGGGAAGGGTGAGGCAGAAGGACACAGCTTGATGTGTTTGAGAAACAGAAAGATCAGTGAATGGGGGGCAGAGGAGTGACAGGAGATGAGTTATAAGAAGTAAGCAGGTTCCATACCATGTAAGCCTTGTTAACATACCTGAAGACCATAGATTTATTTTGTGTTGTGGCATGTAAGCATAACAGTGATGTGATCTGATTTATATTTTAAAAAAACACACACACAAACATACCATTCTGGCTGTTATGTGGAGAACAGACAAGTAGGGGGGCAAAAGTAGAGGCAGAGAGTGCAGCTAGAAGGCTGTTGGAAAATTCTAGGCAGAGTGTGACTGGGCCTTAGATCAGGGGTGGTCCTTGGTGGGTGAGAAATCTTGAATGGCGAGAGATGGTTTGAAGATCCACATGCTGTCAAGCCTTGCTGACTAATTGTATTTGAGGGGTGCTAGAAAGGAAGGAATCAGAGGTGACTTTTAGGCCTTGTGGTCTGCGTCACCTGGGTTTAAATAAATGGTACCATTCAGTGAGCTGAAATGACTGGAGAAAAGAGCAAGTTGGGGTGGGCAGCAAATCCAGAGTTCTGCTTGAAATGTACTCATTTTGAGACCTCTTAGCATCCAAGTAGACTTGCAGAACAACGCAGTTGGAAATACGAGCATGAAACTCGGGGCAGAGGTTTGAGCTGGGGATATAAATCGGCAGTCCTATTTTCCAAGAGACTGGAGGCCAAGAAGAAGAGAACAAGGGCCGAGCACGGAGGTGCTCCCACTTTCAGAGGTTAGGATTTCTGACCCACCTGTTCTTTTCCTCCCAAGCATGTCAGGCCATTGTTTAATTCGAGGAGATCCTCGGATTACTCTTTTTATTCTTCTTCTCTTCCCTCTTACACAAATTTATGACCCAAACTCCTTTTACCAGTAAAAACAGTATGGTAGGGCTGAGTGATGAAATATTTGAAGACATTAATGTGCTGACTGAAATGAAGGTTCTGGAGACAGAGGAATTGGGCTTAAATCCTGCCTCTGCTGTTTACTAGCGTAGTAACCTTGGATATTTTATTTCATTTCTCTGAGCTCAGTCTTTCCATCTGTAATGGCCAGCATTTATCTAACACTTGTTATACACGAGGCTGCGTCTTAAGTCTTTCACATGTCTTAACCTACTTTAATCCTTAAGAACAACCCATTGACGTAGTTAACCATTTTTATCCCACTTTATTGTTAAAGAAACTAAAGCCAGAGAGAGTTTTTGTAATTTGCCATAAGTTACACATCAGGTAAGTGGCAGAGCTAGATTTGAATCGAATCGAGGCAGCCTGGTTCCTGAACCAGTGCTTCTTTTCTCGTATCTAATTCACAGAGTTGTAATAACGATTAAATGAGGTAATCCACTTAGAGTGCATATAGCACATAGAGCCTAGCACAGCATATGTGCGTAATAAATGTTTTCTTTGGAAGGCAGCATCGTGTAGATAGTAGAGTGAAAGAGAACCAGATGAAGAGTCCTAGGGCTCCAGCCTGATTCTACAAGAGCAACTTATGTGACCACAAATAAGTTTCTTAGCCTCTCTCAACTTCAGTTTTGTAATCCGCAACATAAAATCTTTGTACTATATGGTCTCTGAGGGCCCTTTCCATGTCAAAGTGCTATCTGTGACTGCCCAAGACAGATTATGGATACATTTGAATTTGGAGGGGGATCCCACATCACCTTAGGGGTTGGGGAATAATGTCCCTCAGTAATTCCTTGGGTTGGTAACATTTCTGTGTTGCCCTGCTACTCTTGAAGGAACTTGCTAGGAGGTAGTGAAACAGAATAGTTAAGAACCATGAGGTCTGGAGTGAGACCATCATATATTGCAATCTTCATCACTTCCTACCCTGGACAAGATATATATCTTGAGTTTCCATTTCATCTTCTGCAAACAAAGGATAATAATAGTACATACCTCGTGGTGTTATTTCAGATATCCAGAAAGAAATTGCATGTGAAAAATTTAATACATAATAAGCAGTCAATGCGAATTAGGTATTGTAATATTATTATAAGTGTTCCTAGAGCTGAGAGGACTTTTTTTTGTTTTTTTAGCTCTTCAAGTTCCAGGTGAGATAGAAGCTCTGCAGTAACCCATTCCTAAAAAAATGGAGTTGGTAATTACATGGCAAGGCACTTGTTGGAAACTAAGGACATGAATCTGAGTGTTCTGATCCTGCAGTCATTCCTCCTACTCCTCCCTTTTATCAAGGTATAGCAAGCATTTCCCTAGAACAGTTGTGCCTTGCCTCGCCTTGCCTGGAGGTGTAGTGGACAATTCACGGCACATCTGCTCTAGGTTTGACTTGCATCAGCCCTTGCCTGACTGACCTCAGGAGAGTTTTTTCCTCACACACAGACCAGGCCTGAATTTCTGAAGAAATTTAATTATTTTATTTATTTATTTATTTATTTATTTATTTTTACCCTGATCAAAGGAAAGTGGTAGTCAAGACTCCTTTGGCTGTGAGTACAAAAACTCAACTCAAACCAGGTTAAAGGAGGGGAAAGGAGGAAGCAGGAATTACTGACTCCATATGACCGAGAAGTTAAGGCCTGCTGCTGAGTGTATTTGGACACAGGGTTTTAGACATTCTCATGGCTCCCCATCGCTTGCTCTACCTTGGGCTTTATTCTCAGTTATGTTCTCCACGTAGCAGTGCCAACCTACAAACATCCTTCTAGGCATGGTCTCGGAAAGAAAGACTCTCCTTCAACATGCCTATCATGTCAGAAAACAGTTGCCCCAACTTGGGACATATATACACACTCTTGGTGGGGGGAGTCTGATGCCTGCAAATGGCATCATATTCTGTTCCATGGCCAGGTTGGTACAGGCACACGGTAGACACCCCCACCGAAGCACATAGAATTTTTCCAGAAGGAAAAAAGACAAGACAAGCAAAAAAGTAAAACAATAGCAGTTTTAGGTGAAGTAATAGGAACATCCACTTCGCTGTCACCATTGCTGATATAAATGAGCTGTCCCAGGACCTCTCCTGACCTTGGGGAGCTCAGCTTAGCCTAGCCGGCTTTGAGACACAAAGTTTACATCATATGGGGTGGTAACTCTCTTATTTCCATTTTCTTCTCTCTTTTCATGTCCTCCCCCTTAATTATAGTTATTAATTAATACTTAACCCCCAAAGCTGATTCTTCCTTTTTCATTTTACCTGCACAATGATAGCTTAGCATAGTCCACAGTGTGGACTGAAGGGTCCAATTGCCTGGGTTTCAATTCTTTCTCATTTGCTCACTTCAAAATCTTAAGTTTACTTTATACCTCTCTTCTCATCTATAAAATGGAGATAATATTTACCTCCCTGGGTTGTCTTAAGGAGTAGTAGATGGTCTGTGGAAAGTGATCAGCACAGTGTCACGTACACAGTAAAGTCCTCAGGAATAATAGCTGTTGTCACTTCCATCTCTGCAGCTTTGATGCAGCCTGTCTGTTGTTTTGTCAGGAATGGGAAGCTGAGGTTGATGGGGATACTATTAAAAAGCACTAGTTTTGAGTATCTCAGGATAGTTAAAGCCAAATAGAAGGAAGCATTCAAAGTTCTATTTGGAAGACCGAACTAGGATAACAATCTTATTTTTGCAATTTATTAATTAAATGGTACATCCTTACTGCTTTTACTTGCTGAATAACAATGGACAATCTCTCTAGGCTTCTTTTTACTCTTTTGGAAAATGTGTATTTTGGGAGAGGATTATCCCTTCCCTCTTCATCATTGTCTGATCCTTAATTGTTTAAGTAAAAATGAGTATCAGAAAGTGTTTTGTACTGTGTGTGTGTGTGTGTGAGAGAGAGAGAGAGAGAGAAAGGAAGAGAAAGTGAGACAGAAATAGTGAGTTAGTTTATATTGAAATAACCCAAAAAGATTTATTTGTATATTGGATGTATCAGTTGACATATTTGGTTTCTTCTTAAGAGATTATCCTATCCCCTTTCACACTCTACTGTCTAGATCATTTCTAAGTATTGGTTAATCCTACCTCACATCTATTTTGGACTTTTCAAAGAAAGCTTTTTAGATCTTATATATTTTATAATACTTGTCATAGAGTCAGAAAAGTTGGTTGGGGACTTTGTCCCACTGCTTACTCTGCAACATTACATTGGGCACGTTACGTTCCCTCTCCCGTGCCTCATTTCCTCGGCTGTCTAATGAGGCATTTCTTCTATTTAACCTTTAAGTCCTTTCCTAACAGTCTGTGATTCTGTAACTATCACAGCATAGGTTGTGGCATGAGTAGCTGGATTCCCAAGGGAAAACTTGATATCACCACTCCCTTTTGAAACATATTTTTTATCTGTTGCCCATTATGTTTGCTGCAGGATTTCGGCTGAATGCCTCCTCTTGGCCCATGTTCCTTTTGAAGACACTAAATGGAGCAGAGATGGCTCCCATCAGGATTTTCCACAAGGTATGGTGTCCTTCAGATATCACCACTTGCTTAAGGTCAAATGCTTATATTCTTTCATTTACTAAGCCCCTGATGTCTACTTTGTATTTATGGCCTGAGGATGCCTTCTCAGAAACTAGTTCAGAGGGAGGATTTTTAGTATCTTAGGAAGCCGCAACTGTCTCTGGAGGAAATTTCACCATAAGTCAGGATTCCTGGGTTTTGGGTCCCAGCTCTGCCAGTAATAAGCAGTGTCCTTTTGTCCTCATCTGTAAGTGGGATTCTGTCTCCCAGGGTTGTCAAGAAGTTAAAATGTATTTATCAGAAAAACACATAAAATATAACATAAATCTAAAGGAGCTGTTCTCATCCTAGGTCTTTGAATTCCCTAAGGTCCATATGCTAAACAAAGAGAAAGGAAGGAGACTATTTTTTGAATGTCTACAGTATGTTTAGAGTTGATATACACCATCTCATTTAATATCCACAGTTAACTTTCTGAAGCAAGAATTACAATTTCCATTTAATAGTTAAGGAAACAAATACTTTTGAATAAAGAACTTGCCCAAGATCACATGGATAGTAAGTAGTGGAAGAGGGATGTAAAACCTGTATCCATTCTTCCTTGTTTCTTAAGGCATGAAGCAGTCAGTCTGCTGTGAGCTGAATTCTTTAATGAGGTAAAGGAGACTGAATTAGAGTTGCCTATGCTGCTAGTTAAGTCTAAACCCTAAGAGCACTATATGGTTCCCAGAATATAGTGTACTGGGCAACTTAAAAACCCTTTCACTACAGAATATATCAAAATGGTGGACTGGTGGGGGAGGAGGACCAACAAATACTCTCTTACATGCTTTGCCAAGCTACCAGAAAGTTAGAAAACTCTCCAGAGGCCAGAATGAAGAAGGAGAACCAGTGTTAAGTGTATATGGTACACCTGTAAATGCCTTAAGGGGCATTGCCAGTCTTACTTTCTAAGGGTCTTGTCTTTTAAAAGCCATGGTAGGATAGATGAGCACTTGGGCCCGTGCAGGGCAGGGAAATGGCCCTGAGACTGCCACGTAGACAACCAGATCAGGTCCCTCAACTGGTTACTCCTTCTTGGAAAGACTGTTAACACTGGTGAGGAAAGTTTCTGCGTTCTAGGGAGGGGTGAAAATGGAGCCACATTCTCCAATAAAGCGGTCTTCGCCCATGCAGGTCCATGGTTCAGATATAGTGCCTGTGTTGTCTGTGAACTTCAGAGCTATATGGAGATATTTCTGAGTGCCTGCAGAGGCAAACCCAGAGCCTCTCCAGATGGTTTGGTTGCTTTCAACCCAACGTCATAGACATCCCAAAAATGAAGCACCCCTGAAGATGAGTGTTCATTTCAGAATTTCAGAGCCCTCAAAAACTCTCAAAACAAATCCAACATGATGGGACATCGGTAGACCCAACAAACAGTAAGGCTATAACCCAATGGCTTTCAGATAATAGAAACACCAGATAGGGATTATAAATTTAGTATTTAAAAATGATTAAAGAATGAAAAGAAGGACTTTAAAAATTGAGAGAAGTACAAAACCCTATTTCTGAAAATATTTGAAAAAAACAAATTGAACATCTAGAAATGAAACTTGATGATTAAAAGAACAAATTAATGGGTAGGTATATAAGAAACTAGGACTTAAAGAATTAACTGAAAGACAGGTATAAGGACTTTCCCCACAATGCAGTGCAGAGAGATAAAGAGATGGAAAATATTAAAGAGAAGAGACAGGAGAATAATATTAGAAGGTCCAATATATGCTGAATATGAACTTCAGAAAGATTAATTAGAAAGAATAGAGAATAAGGGTATTCAAGAAGATATTAGCAGAATTTTCCAGAGTTGTGTAATAAAGACAAATACATACCTTAAAACATCACAATATGACTGAAGTCCAAAGGAAGGATCTGAACAAGTAATCACACAGAACACCTTCCAGAGGATTACAGGTAGGCTGGCAGCACATTTCCAGACAGAAGCAGTACCAACCAAAAGATAATAGAACAGTATCTTCCAAGTACTGAGAAAAAATTGTTTTCTATCTACAATTTTATATCTAGCCATATTATTATTTCAGAATGAATGTAAAATCAAGACATTTCCAAACAAACTATACAAGTAGTACTAACATAGCTGCTGAAAGAACAACTGAAAATACATTTTCAGGAAGAAGATCATTGAACCCAGAAAGTAAGAATGGAAGAAGTAGTGGTGAGGAAAGATTGCTTAACATGTGGGTAAAGCTAATCAAGCAGTGCCTATAACCGTATAAACTAAGTATAATAACAATGTGGAACTAAATTATCAAACACTTATTAACTCAGGAGTAGGTAAAATAGTCTAAGGTCCTTGTATTGCTTGGGACTGTACATAAAGATGAGTTTAGATTTAATTATATCAACTATCCAGTTACAAATCTTAAGGGGATGATCCACTGAAAGACTATAAATAGAATGGTTAACATCTGAATCAATGGAACAGTGGAAAGGGAAGAAAATTCAATTGATTGTAAAGGAGAAAAAGGAACCTGGAAAAAATCAAGTTACATAGAAAGTAGGCAATATGATAACTGTAATAAATTTAAATATGTCAGTTATCACAAAAATGAGCTTAAACTCATCAGTTCAGACATACAATTAGATTGTTTTTAAATCTACGTGCTGTTTACAAGAGACACTGCTAAAATATGACACTAAAATGTTGGAAGGAAAAGCAAAGATAACACTAGGCAAATCTTCATCAAAATAAAGCCAGTGCTAACCATACTGACATGAGTCAAGGAGACTTTGTTGCTGAAAGACATTCTAAAGAGGCCAGTATCTAATGATAAAAGAGTACATGCTCCTGAAAAACAGTGCCTCAAATATGAAAGCAAAATTTGACAGAATTTGGACAAATTGGAAAATCTACCATTGCTGCGGGATATTTCAGTACATGTCTCTCAGTAATTGATAAATCAAGCAGACAAGGAAATTGACATATGAATCAGCATAAGCTACCTAGTATTAAATCAGCTGATCAGTTTTAAAAAATCAGTTGCATTTCTATTTAATAGCAACAAGTGGCTTGAAAATAAAATTTTAAAAGATAGCACTTAGGATAGCAATAAAATTATAATATACCTAGAAAAATGTTAGTAAAAAGCATGAGCTATTTATAGAGAAAATTTAAAAATTCATGTTAAAGAAGGAATCTATTTTAAAGAATGCTTAATAAATGGAAAATACTATCATGTTCATGGATGAGAAGGCTAAGTATCATTTATATCATTTAGGATGAGAAGGCTAAATATCATTTATACAAAGGTTATTTCTTCCTAATTTATACATTCCCTGGGATTCCAGTCAAAATCCAAATAAGGGTTTTCTGTGGACTTGAAAAGCTGATTCTATGAAATCAGCTTTCATATGAAAGATCATATGAAATTCATGTGAAAGATCAAGGAGAAAGAACAGTCAAAACCATACTAAAAAATGACAAAGTAGGGGATTTTTTCTACCAGATATCCATTTATTAGGATGGTGTTATTGGTGCAGGTTCAGAGTGTAAGACCAGGGAAAGAACAGAGGGTACAACACTTTTTGGGAACTTTATCTTTGCAACTACATCACAAATCCACAGTGCTGGAGAGAGTGTGCAATGCTACAACCACTTAGGAGGGCGATTTGACAATATTAATAAAGCATAAGATGTATATACCTCTCCTATAACCCAGAAATTCTACTCTTGCATATGTACCCTAAAGTAACCCTCCCACACGTGTGCAAAGGAACAGGTGCAAGAATGATCATTAAAACTCTTGAAACAGTGAACAATTAGAAATGACCTTAAATGTCCATCAGAAGAGAATGAATACAATGAATCGTGGATCACCACATTAAAAACTAATGATATATTATCTGGTGATTAACATAACATAATAAAATAAAATTAAAAAAATTTAAAAAGAGAATGAATAGTGATATACACATATAATGGAATACTGTTAGCACTTGAAATGGACTGGAGCTGGATTTACCAACATAGATAAATTTCAAGAACGCAATGTTAATGGCCAAAAAGTTGTAGAACATGTACAGTATAATACCATTTATATAAAATTTTAAAGTATGCAAATGGATATGAATATATATAGTAAAATATGAAAACGTGCATGAGGAATGGGCACAAAAAGGATTCAACTTTATCTGTTACCTTTTATTTCTTAAAAAAAAAAGTCTGAATCAAAAATGATAAAATGTTAGGACTTAAGAAGTAATACTTTGGTACACTTTGAAATTTATTTAAAACAAAGACTAAACCTTCGTTATAAATCTTATAGAGCAGCCGGTCATTTAGTCATCATCCAAATTTGGTAGCGGTCTTTTGGCACACAGAAGCCTCTGTCTTTGCATCTGGGTCTGCATATTTCTGTTTCTCATCTAGGAACCACCATCGCCTTCCCACAACTTCTTCAAAATGGGAATGAAGCTAGAAGCTGTGGACAGGAAGAACCCTCATTTCATTTGCCCAGCCACTATTGGGGAGGTGCGGGGCTCAGAGGTGCTTGTCACCTTTGACGGGTGGCGAGGGGCCTTTGACTACTGGTGCCGCTTCGACTCCCGGGACATCTTCCCTGTGGGCTGGTGCTCCTTGACCGGAGACAACCTGCAGCCGCCTGGCACAAAAGGTAAAGGCTCATCTGTGAGCTCTTGAAATCAGGACCCAAGTTGGGAAAGGGGATTGCCTGGATCTCCCACGGGCAGTGTCTCTTCGATAAACCTCACTAGTAGGCAACTGAGGTAAAAACCAAGGTCTACCTGAGAGTAATCAGAAACAATAAGAATTAAATGTCGAAGGAAGCCAGATGTGGAGTTTGGGATAAAGTAAAAGTTCCTCGCTCAAAATATCCTGGTTTATTCTCAGGCACCTAGCCTCTCCTCTCTGTCACTTTGGTTCCTGACCTGGTTCAGAGTTTGAGTAGTATCATCTTGAGGTGCACCTCTGTGTCAGGACTCAGGGGCTTTGTATATGAGCTGGAGTAGCACCATGTCATCAGAACACTTGAGAAGCACTGTAGCACAACGGGAAAAGCATGAGCTCGGCAGCAAGACAGACGTAGGTTTGAGTCCCAGCTCTGCCTTTTTTTACCAGCCGCGTGGCTTTGGGCAGTTAGTTCACTTCTCTAAACCCCAAATTCCTCATCCATAAGCGAACACCTGCTTCATAAAATTATTGTGAGGAATAAGTGACATGACATGGGTAAAACGCTTACATAAAATCTGGCAAATAACCGTTGCTAAACAAATGTTTTTATTATATTGCTGCTATTATTATAGTTATTATATGCTATATTTATTACAATTACTATATAATGTGTATTATGTTATGCCACATTATTATTATTATGCTATCATTATAAAAATAACCACTCCCAGTGGAAGAGTATCTATAAAATACCGGAAGAGTACCACAGAGTAGTTGAACAGTACATTATATTTCTAATGATGATGATGTTGGACATCATCCAGATAGAGTTTGAGATAGCTGCATCTCATCCCTGATGTCTAAAAGTACTAGTTAATCTGAGGAAATAGAAAGCCACCCTTTGTATTGTCTGCCAGTCTCTTTTCTAAACCTCTGTCAATTTCACTCATTCAGGGCGCCCAGTATTTATTGAGCACTTAATTGTGAGCCAAGCTGAGAATACAGCAGTTACAAAGATGAAAAACATTTTGGCCCTCCTGGAACTTTTGTTCTAGTGGGATGAGATGGTTGATAAGCACTGAAATCAAGAAATAAACAAGGTGATTTCAGATCATCAGTTTCTGCTCAGGAATCAAGTATGATGAGGCAGTGGCAGTGGAGGAGTGATCGTGAAGGGAGTTTTTGTTTAATAGCTTTATTGAAGTGTAATTGAAGTGAAACAAATGGCACATATTTAAAGTATGCCATTTGAAAAGTTTCAACATATATGTATATCCATGAAGCCATAACCGTAGTCGGGATAATGAGCATATCCATCATGCCCAAAAGTTTCCTTGTTCCTCTTGGTGGAGGGGGGAGATTCTTTAGATACAGTTCTTTTCAGGAAAATTTGTCTGAAAGGGTGACATTTGAATTGAATGACAAGAAAGAGAATTCCAAGCAGGGAGGGGACACACATATCGTGGTGCTGGGACATGAATGAACGAATGTGTTTCAGGGGTAGAGAGAAGACTGCTCCTACTGGAATGCACTGTGTGAGGAGGAAAGTGGCAAAACCTGGTAGGACCCCAAAAGCCAGAGTGAGAATTTGGATGTTATTCTAAACGTAGTGGGGAATCGTTAGAGGGCACTCTGTAGGGGAGTGACAAGATCTGGTTTCCTTTTAAAAAGTCACTTGCACTTGTATCCAGAATTCAACTCAACAATGAAAAAGACAACCCAGTTAAAAAATGGGCAAAGAGTTTGAATAGACATTTCTCCAGAGAAGATACATAAAAGGCCAATAAGCACTGGAAAAGCTACTCTACATCATTAGCCATTAGGGAAATGCAAATCAAAGCCACAAGGAGATACCACTTCACACCCGTGGGTATGATATCATCAAAAGGCAGTAACAAGTGTTGGCGAGAATGTGGAGGAATTGGAGCTCTCAGACATTGCTAGTGAGATGGTAAAATGGTGCAGCCACTTTGGAAACAGTCTGGAAGTTACTCAAAATGTTAAACGTGGAGTTACCTGTGACCTAGCAATACCACTCATGGGTATACACCTAAGAGAATAGAAAACCTTTCCACAGAAAACCATATCATGAATGTTCATGGCAGCATTATTCATAGTAGCCAAAAAGTCCAAGTAGCCCAAGTGTCCACCATGTGACCAACAGACAAATAAAATGTGGTATCTCCATGTGAAATACTGTTTGGCGTTAAGAAGGAATGAAGTCCCAAAATAATGCTATACCACAGATATACCTTGAAAAACCTTATTCTAAGAGAAAAAAAAGCCAATTACAAAAGACCACACACGGCATGACTGCATTTGTATGGGATGTCCAGAAGAGGCAGAAACACAGAGACAAAAGTAAATTAGTGGTTGCCGGTGACTTGGGGAAAGGGGAAATGGGAAGTGACTTTGATGAGTGCAGGGATGGTAAATATGCTCTAAAACTAGATAGGGATGGTGTTTGCCATTCTGTATATCTACTAAAAACACTGAATTGTATGCTTTAAGAGGGTGAATCTTATGGTATGTGAAGTATCTATCAATAAAGCTGTTATTTAAAAAATCACTCGGGCTGCTTATGGAGAATGGGTGGCACCATGGAAACTGGACAAGGAAGAGCTGAAGGTTGCTGGGATTAAGTGGGCGGCACTGAGGTGGAGAGCCCTTGAGATGGGGGCAGGGCGGCGGGGAGACACATTTCTTGCCTCAGCAAAGTGCTCCTCCTCTCTGTGCTGCAAGAAACAAGTGCCTGAGGTTGCTGGGAGAACTCCATGGCTGTCCCTCCGCAAGCCTGTGAGGCAGTATCTCTGGGGAAGCAGCAGGAAGAGATGTGCCTTGTGCCTCGGAGGTGGTGGCGGAGTCATTGTTGTTTCCTTGAGGCAAACAGGATAACCCTCAGTGCTCCAGGCTGTGTTCAGTGAGTAGGTTGATTTTCTCACTCTCTCACGTAGAGAATTGTGTTATTTTGTTTGGTAAATCTCTTCCAAGCCATTAGGCCTTTCTTGAGAGCCAGAAGAGCTGGGAGTCTTCGTGGGCGGGCATTCCTTTCTGACTGCGCACCCTGCTGATGAGAAATATGCCTCACTCTCTGGTTGACACTTACAGAGGTGTTTGCTGACTGTTTTTCATCCTCTTCTGCGTGTCTGTGGATAGCTTCGATTGGTAACAGAAGGTGGCCAGAAGGACCAGGCTCAGAGAGACCTTCTTCCAGTTGGCATTTCCAGAGCGGGTCATTCGGTCATCATTCCAGCAGCCAGGGCTCCTCCGATGACCCCCTCGCCCCCCCCCCCATACCCTCAGTAGATTCTGTAGTGTAGCCTTCAGTAACAGCAGAACTTGAGCCACCTCAGTGTCCTGGCTAGGGAGCAAGTGATCCAATGTGGAAAAAATGCGGTTACTCAATTCATTTCTCAAAACAAGATGTTCTGTCTGTGTAAGCCTGTTCTCTTTCTAATCATACTGTCTCCTCCTCCCTTCCTACCTTCTGGTCAGTAGTGGGCAAATGTTAAAAAACTCAGACTAACATGAGATAGTTTCTTGCTCGCAATGAGTAGGAAAAAAATACCAATTTTATTTAATGTTCTTTTACATGCGTTATTTCATTTTACATTCCTGGTAACTTTGAACCAGGTATAATTATTCTCAGATACATTTTATTCATGAGAAAACTGAAGTCCAGAGGATTAAGTGGCTTAGTTCTCTTGATATCTGAGTCTAGAGGGAGAAGTCATGGAGCTCTTCCAGTAGGGCCAGCTGTCAGAGCCATTTCGAGCCATATTGCCTTCACACATCTCCCCCGTACTCTCTCCATTCTCCCTCAGGCTTTCTTCAAAGCTTCATTTGAGACCCTGGACTTTGGCTTCTAGATCCTGATAGGAAATAGGAAAGAAGCCGTGCTGTATATGATGAGAGCTTTGAAATGGGGTCTTGTCCCAACTGGGCCACAAACTTGTGTTACACCTTTGAGCAAGTGATTCCTAATGTGAGAGCTTGAACTAGGTGACCCTTGAGGGCCCTCCCACCCTGTGATCCTGTCCATTTCTGCTCTTGGGGATGGGTAACAAGTGACTCCTGTGATTGTCTCCAGCTTGATTCCAGGTCCAGCTCACCTACCACCTTGCTCTGCCCCCCATCCACCTAGGGCTCTGCCTCTCTCTGACTCCTGCATGCCGACTGTTTCTCCTTAGCTGAGAAGCAGTATCCTTTTTAGAGCTCCTGAACTCCTGGGGCCCAGCCAGCTCTCATAAGCAGCAAATACCAAGCTTGCAACTAATCCAGGGTACTTGGTTATAAAAGGCAGAAGCTTTTTTTTTTTTTTTTTTGTAAACTCCTCGCTTTTGTGTGTGTGTGACTTAACATAAAACTGAAACAGAAGCAAGCTTTACTTTTTAAATTTTAAAAAAACAGGGGCACCTGGGGGGCTCAGCTGGCTAAGCATCTGCCTTCGGCTCAGGTCATGTTCCCAGGGTCCTGGGATGGAGCCCCAGATCGGGCTCCTTGCTCAGCGGGGAGCCTGTTTCTCCCTCTCCCACTGCTGCTCTCCCTGCTTGTGCTCTCTCTTGCTATCTCTCTCTCCCTGTCAAATAAATAAATAAAATCTTTAAAAAAATTTTTTAAAAACAAAGAGTTCAGTCCACTTGGCATGACTGTAATGCTTAATTAGGCTTTTCATCATCATAACCACCCACCTAACTCCCCCTCCCACTGATTTCAAGCTGGGCGAGCCCATTTTAGATTATAGCTTAGCTTCCTTTTACAATAGGAAGAGAACATGAGATACAAGCTATTTCATCTTTACATTTTTATTATAAATTAATGTATTGCTATCTGGATTACACTTCAGTCTCTTGTGACTTCACAAAGTGTAAACTGGGTCTGGCTGTTCTCTATATTGCTGATACAAATATGGGAATCCAGGAGAGGTGCTGCCCTTGAGCACACCTGTTGGGGTGAAAGCTCAGCCAGGCCTCCTCCGACCTT